GTGCTACGCACAAGCGATATACGGTCAGCCCAACAGCTGTACCGATGAGTGCAGCGCTCAGAGCAGTAGAGACGATAGAGCCGGCGAGCCCGCGGCGGCGTTTTGCAGGTGGCTGCAAGGCGTCTACATCGACAAGGAAGCAGATAAGACGCATAAAAGAAGAAGGGAGAAAAAGGTGAGAAAAAGAAGAACCAAGACAGAAAAAACGATGTAGCGATAGGTTGGAATGAGTGAGAAGATCACATACGACCACGGTATAAATACCTATGGCCACAATGCGTAGTGCGCAAACTCCTACATAGCCAGACATACAGAAAAATGAAAGGAGGTGTGTAAGGGGCGTGTGAGTGGAGTGAAGTGAACGTGTAAAACTCTTGCTCAGATGAGCCGAGAGATATTAAAAAGCCTCGCGGAGACAACGAGGACAAAATCTTGCGAAAAAAATAATAATAAATTACGGTATCAACTCACCATCAAGCTCGGACCCAGGTTTTCGTATATACTCGAACGCCTCCTCAACCTGCCCTTCTGCCAATTGCCGGTATTTCGCTGGTGTGTCCAAGTATCCATTTGATGATACCAATGTCGTCTGAGTGGTCGAATGAGTGGGTTCAGGACTTGAGGGCTCCCAACCTCGTTTCCTTGGGTTCGGTTGAGGACTCGCTTGCCTCTGTGATAAATGAGATTGTTTAGGAGTAAGATTGAGCATGTCGTCTTCGCTTTCGGATCTGACTGTGGCTGAATTAGATCTTTTAATCCTTCTTGTGAGTGAGGGTGGGGATATGGGAGGTTTAGAGAAAGGATTTGATAGACCTGGGACAGAGAAGATAAAAGTAAACGGGAACGGCATCGAGGTTAAATTTCAAGAGATGTTTTCCCGGAGAAGCGCCCAAGTTTCAACAACCGGTCACGCAGTCACATGCCGTGACGGCCGTCATCTTTGAGTTTCAGTGGAACAAACTTGATCACAACTTTCAGGTTAGTCTGGAATCTTTTTTGCGGAATCAGGTCGCCAGAGCCCTACTAACAAACAAATTTTAATGATCACAAGGGAAGTTGAGGTAGGCTTACTGTTATCTTTAGATCTTGTCTACAACTTGAACATAGTCGCCCTCAGATCTGTTGTTCCTCCAGGAGTACTCCACCCTTGCAACAAGACCGAAACAATAATGACAATTGTCGATTCGACCCCCTAAGGGTCTAAATTAGCGTTTGTCACTACGAAAAGTTCGCGTTTGATCACCAATCGATCGTGGATAGTACTGGCAACTTGAACCAGTTTCGGTTTCTTGTAATAGAATCACTACTGGCATATTAGGAGGACCCATGACAGACCAATTGGATCATCCAGCGACAAACAGAGACAGCAAGCCCAGATCGGCGGAAATAACAACGGTGGCTGAAAATGGAACACACCGAATCATAACCACGGCGGACTTGGCGTCAGTTCAAGGGCCCAAAAACATACCCAAAAACTAGTATCGATATAAAGAACACCAGAAATCGGTGACTCTTTGGCCACATACGTTTCTATCGTGCTGGGGTTTAACTTCAAAGGTCGAGTAAATGCACCTTTTTCGTCCGCTAGATGGAATTACATTATACGCTTAGCCTGCAATGAACCATATAATCACGAACCAGACTTCTTTTATTCGAAATATGAGATCAGAACTGTGAACAATGAGCTGGGGGTATGTGGTTGCGATTTGTGGAAGAGACACTATCGGAGGTGGTGTGGGAGAAGAACGACATCTCACCACTTGCGCGCTTATCTACCGGCTCAGCCAAGCGTTTATAAACTTGCAACATCAACAGAAACAACGAATACCACGACTTGTATTAGATATTAAACACCCACAAAGTTACACCCACGTACATCTCAAAAATTCCAAAAAAAAGAACTCCGATACCCGCCCCATAAATACTATCACTAGTAATATAACAACAGTGACCCTACCCCGTCTAAACCTACAGTCTAAAATCTACAGACTACATACAAAACCTTGATACTTATCAATAAGTTAATAACTTGAGTCTAACCCCCTCCCTCGAACGCGTCGGGACATTGGGCAATGAGAACCTAGACAATAGTCCAAGTCGCACCCTTGAGCCTCCCAACGGACTGAGGAGCAAGGACAGAGAACGCAGCAGGAGAAAGGTCGATTCCGTTAGTTCCACAACCAGGGCACTTGTCAACAATGGCAACGGTGACGGATTTGCCTTGGTATTTGACTGTGGCTTTCCTGCTGCAGATGGGGTTGCTGTTCGGGCGAGAAAGGTGCCGTTAGCGTGAGTGATGTGAGTAAGGGAAGGGAGGGAAGAGTAGCAGTGTGGCGGAGGGAGAGGTACGATATAATGGAAGGGAGGAGAAGTGGGTAGGTGTGTATGGGAAGGAGAAGCTCAAGGGGGGAAAAGAACACGACATACAGATTAGGATTGGCCGTGGCACCAGGGAAGGTGTCATAAATGGGCGAAGCAACGGCGGCGATGAGGTCGGCGGCGCTATTAACATGACCACAGGCTCCAAGACCAGGAGTGTACCAGGTAACTGAAGCAGCAGAAAAGAAAAGGGATTCGTCAAATCAGCCATGGTCTCAAATCAAGAGAATGAAAAAAGATACAAACCATCACCGGTGTAAGCCGTTGGGGCAGCCATTGCCGATATGGCGAGGGTGGCAAGAGCCAAAGATTTGGTGAAAGAGAACATTGTTGAGAAGGAAAGTGAGGATGAGAGAGGGAGAGAGCGAGTGTGTGTGTGTGTGTGAAGGAAAGTGTTGTAGAAGAATGTATGATGCTGTCCCTAGAGCTTCAAGCCAGTATTTATAGCCTGAGAGGACAGCGGTGGCCTATTCGAGGCGTAAATGATACGTAGTAAGCTCAAGGCGTCGAACGTATGGCGGGTGTACGACAGTACCTTCGGGGATGCATTCTTGTCGGTCCCTGATAGCCCAATTCGAAAGACCATATCGTTCCTCCTCGTTCCACACCGCACTGTGTTCCCCAATTAGCTATCACGAAGGGTTTTGTACTCGAGGATAATTGGGATAATCCGTGAATGAATAGCTGGTTCCACGCGGTATGCTTGCCCAAAAACTCACAGAATAGCCTATAACGCGACGCAACCGGTCCCGGTTGCTAGTGTATCACCTTTCCGTCCCATCCCATGTATTACTGTATTGCTTCGCCTATAGATTCGTCGTCAGCCGCAGCAGTCTAGATATTTGAGCTGGAGCTTACCAGAGAACGCTATGGTCAAAGAGAATATAGTTTTGCGGGAATGAGGGTGAGCAAACGTCGGGATCAGCGCTTGATTCTCCTGAATCGACGCTCGATCAAAGTAACTGATGATCTTGGGGATATTTATGTGTTCATCCGTGCGGCTCATTACTGCAAAGTGGGCATCGGAGGAAAGAGACGATTCACCCCGTTAATCCTAGTCCAAGGGGTGGATGTATGAATGTCGAACGAAAAGCTCAAGAGTCGAAACACCATGCAGTGTGCATCATACCTCCATCCATCTTCGTGGCGCGGAATGCATGAGGCATGTGTGATTGAACTGGTTGGCCAGTCTGCAAAGATGAAACTCAAGGGGAAAATTAAGGTACGGCCGTGATTGACGAAGCCGTATTAACGAAAAAGCGGGAGATGACACAGACCCTCGAACACGCCTGGATCGTGTGGTCAGACTCTCTCCACCTGATGGATGTGTAAAGACTGATGCTTCTGCTCTAGGATACCAGGGCATAGGGCACTGGGCTTCAAGGAAGGGTATTATCTCAAGAGGTGGGCACGTAGGAGACATATGTGGATCCATCAAAATCATTGATTCCTTGTTTTTTCACCGGGGGGAACTACGCATGGTTGGGTCATACTTGATACAGGGTTGCCAGTGTGGGTGGAGACGATAAACACGTTCAAGGCGTGAAAGGAAAGTAGCGAAAGGGTCATCTCGGAAGCCCCGGAACCTTATCCCCAACGCAGGTAGGATGTGGTCGTCCTCTCCTTGCAGACCGAGCTGGTGAGGCGATATAATTGTACCTTGGACGAATCGCTACACCATTTTCTGCACCGTATGGTTCACATCGCAAGTCGTATATCCCCGCCTGTGATAGAGCAACGGTTTCCTTCCCTCCTCCGTGGACCCATCCATTTCCACGCCCGACACCCGCGCAATGAACAACTCAGACGTAACTCCATCCAAAGCCCCAGTCCCAGCTACTTTTCCCTCTCCTGCTAATTCGCTCGTCACTCCACCAAGCCCACGTTCCAATAAGCTCATATCGTGTAAAGGTATCGGAGGTGTTACCAGTTGACACGAAACCGCTCCCAACGACTTCTTGAGGAGCGGTATTCCATCGCGACTAAGTGTAAAAAACTGGGATGAAGAAAACGGATGTGGGTACAAATCAGGCCTTGAAAAGACGACTGCTAGATCTTCTTGTGAGGCTGACAGTAGATTTATGACCATATGTGCTGATTTGGGTCGTGTCGACCGTTTTGAGTATGCTTCTGCGAGATAAGCTGCCATTCTGGATGGTACGCGCAACGAAAAGGATATGAGAGGGTGTGGGTCCATTGCTATTGAAGTAAATGAGGACAAAGTAGCTCCGTGGTAACGGTCATGAGAAGGCGAAGCGAGTGTTGTTGTAGTGACGACGGCGACTGTTTGAGCAGATTCTCGGAGGAGTGTACGGAAATGGGTTTTGAGATTGAGAGCGGACTCTTGTATGGAAGTGGAAAAGAGTCTTCGCCTGCAAAACATGGGGCATCTAAACCCCGGGGGAATCATTGGTTCTTTATACGGGTGATGAAAGTGGTCAAACGATGACGGAGACGCGAGTAACGACGCGTCGCGCTTGTCCGGTGTCTCCCGCACTGAATCTAGGGTGAGACAATTATAAAAAACTCGGCTTTTGCTACTTCACCTCAATATACTCTTATTCAAGCTTAGTGTCTACAGAGGATCATACTGGTATTGGGTTAAGAAAATTAAAAAATATTTCCCTCTAGCCGACTCGAACGACTGACCTCGTCATTGCACTGTCAGCACATATACTAGTGACGCGCTCTACCAACTGAGCTAAGAGGGACTACCGCATATGACCTAATAGTGCTATAACACTATTAGCAGCTCCAAACTTCTAGGCCGAACAGGCGCAGCCGGAACCGCGCCTGCCGGGCCCATTTTTGGTGCCTACACTGCATTTCGCAATGTATAGGAGTACACCCCACCTCTCCACTGCCAGAAATAAGAATCTCCAGCTACATCGACATTGACAATGGTTTCCCATCCAACGAAAACGCACAGAAAGTGGAAGTGGGCTCCATAACTCGGTTAGAGTTTTCGTCTATGTTAAGACGTTCGTCATTCATTTCAAAGACGAAACCCAGTGTTATGGGTTAAATCGACATTCTCGTCAATTTACGCTCTGGTTATGAGCAAAGTTCATGTTAGAACTTAAGGCAACGTTGTGCCTGTTAGTGCTACTTCCCGCACCCTTAATCGACTGCTGGTCGATTAGGCTCATGTTAGAGCCGAGTTCCTTGATAGGAACTTCACCACGAGCTCGCGGTTGCAAGACAAGTTCATTGTACTTGCGGTCGAACATCTGTCACGACCCGAAAGGACATTGATATGTCCATCCTCCACATAAGGAAGGTTTCGCCCATGTCGATCTGACTAGGGGATCTCTCAGATGAGAGAGGCTCAACAGCTGAGAGCCGTACACTGCGCAAGTGTAAGAGCGCGTTAGGCACTCTATAAGGGGAAGATACGGAATATTCAACCGTCTCCAGACTTTACCCTCGCCAGTGCCACTCAACGTAGAGCCTACCGAAACCAACTAGAGACCAACGGCCTTCAGAGCCTCGGAAAGCAATCGAGAACACCAGCCATGCTCTCTATCAACCCAGAAACGCTGAAAAAATCGGTGCATCTGCCACTGGTCGACAAAGAGCATGCCAGAGAATGGTAGAGGGAAGAGGTCAAGGAGTCCCAAAGAATATACTCCTGAACATTTTCCTTTTATGCCACGTAGTTCTGTTTGACGCTATTTGCTCACCTGAGTAAATCTTCACGTGATTAATGTGTGCCGCCGGGATTTCCTTTTTGCGAGGGCCGCCTCAAAAAGTTTCCCGATTCAGTCACTACCTTCGCGTCCAAGGCCCATCGACGGTACAGATTTACTACTCCTTCACTCTCTGATTTTATAGGGTGAAGGATATATTGCTCATCCCTTGAATTCAGTCTTTCATCTTACCCGCTCACAACCAAACCACCCTCAACTTCATTGCCGTGACGACGCGCGTAGGCCACGACAGGCTTTCAGTTCATTCCGAGTTCAACCTTTCTTTCCTCATTCTCCCCCAGCCAAGATGGACTCTGATCTCATAAAATTGGTCAATAAACTCCAGGATACTTTCCATAATCTAGGCAAGTCTCGTTACTTTCCCTTTCAGGTCAATGTTAACTCTTTAGTTTCTTGTCGGACAGGTGGCGAGCTGGACATGCCACAACTGGTCGTGGTATGTCGGATTAGGAATTTATGGAGACATGATGATTAACGCTTGAGGCGTAATAGGTTGGAAGCCAGTCAGCGGGCAAGTCGAGTGTCTTGGAGACGTGAGTACCTGGAATCACGTCTGAGTGTGGCTCAAAAGAAAGTGAACCCGTTTTTCTGCGTAGGATCGTCGGGAAAGATTTCCTTCCTCGAGGACAGGGCATTGTAACTCGAAGACCTCTCATCTTACAGCTCATTCATACACCCATACCAGCCGAGCCTTCACCCAACGCATCACCAGTCACGGAATGGGGCCAGTTTTTACATCTGGATAAGCGGTTTACGGATTACGCGGATATCAGGAAAGAGATTGAACAGGAGACTTTTAGGGTTGCTGGACAGAACAAGGGAATTAGCAAGTTGCCGATATCGTTGAGGATATACAGTCCGAATGTATTGGATCTGACTTTGGTGGATTTGCCTGGTTTAACAAAGGTGCGTTTCGGGTATTCGAGTATAAATACCAAACGAAGTGGTTAAACTTTTTTTGGCTCTCTAGATACCTGTTGGTGACCAACCGAGCGACATAGAGCGACAAATACGAAACCTCGTCGTAGAATATATCTCTAAACCTAACAGGTATGCCTCCAGATCCTTCATTCATCTGGATATCATAACTTACGACCTCTTTCAGCGTCATCCTCGCTGTCTCGCCTGCTAATGTCGACCTCGCCAACTCGGAATCCCTCAAGCTCGCTCGTTCAGTCGACCCACAGGGAAGACGTACCATCGGAGTTCTCACAAAACTGGATCTCATGGACGCTGGAACCAACGCGCTTGACATCCTCACAGGCCGTGTTTACCCACTCAAGTTAGGGTTCATCGGAGTTGTCAACCGAAGTCAACACGATATCAACTCAGAGAAAAGTATGGAGGATGCATTAGACTCGGAGACGGAGTTCTTCAAGAGTCATCCGGCATATAGAAACATCGCACACAAGAATGGAACGAAGTATCTGGCGAAAACACTGAACCAGGTATGTCACGTTCGATTGTTCTTCTTCAATCCTGGCTAAAAAAGTCGAATTAGGTATTGATGAACCACATTCGAGACAAACTACCCGATATGAAAGCGCGATTGAACACTTTGATGGGACAAGCTCAACAAGAACTCAACTCGTTTGGAGATGCTGCCATCTTTGGTGATAAAAATCAACAAGGCGCACTCATACTCCGTCTTATGACCCAATTTGCTCGAGACTTTGTTGCTTCTATCGAAGGTACCAACGTCGATATATCAACAAAGGAACTATCGGGTGGTGCCAGGATATATTACATCTTCAATGATGTATTTGGGAACGCTTTGTTGTCGATAGACGCGACGTCCAACCTCGACAACCAGGATATCCGTACCGCCATCCGCAACTCGACTGGTCCAAGGCCGAGTTTGTTCGTTCCGGAGTCTGCTTTTGATTTGTTGGTCAAACCACAGATTAAGCTTTTGGAAGCACCGAGCTTGCGATGTGTCGAACTCGTGTACGAAGAACTGGTTAAGATTTGCCATAACTGTACAAGTACTGTAGGTTTTCTCTATCGATAACTTTGCCTGGCTTTTGATTTCACTTCGTTTTACAGGAACTCCAACGCTTCCCGCGTCTACACTCTCAACTAATCGAAGTCGTATCTGAACTTCTTCGCGAACGACTTGGACCGACGTCTGAATATACACAAAGCCTCATCGATATCCAGGCCGCGTACATCAATACCAATCACCCCTCCTTTGTCTCTGGATCCGCTTCAGCTGCTGGTCGGGTAAACTCACCTCCGAAACCTCAACCTCCACCTCGAGTTAGTCTTCACCCTTTATGATTTTGGTTGCAATTTTTCTCATCCGCCTTCCGCAGCCCGCATCCGCCGAACCAACGACCATTAACGGTACTAACGGCAAGCCGGCAACAGGAGCCGATAGCGAAGACGTAGACGACATATCTGATGGTCATAGTAGCGATACTAACGATATCTTCCCATCACGAGATGGTCCGAGATCCGTCTCTTCTACCGTTCATGACCGTACGCGGACAAGTCGTGCTTCAACGGGGAGTACCCTTACCCCTACTGCGACTATTTCTAGTAGCTCCAAACGGTCCTCTTCACGTCACCCTCAACAACCACAACGACCTCATTCCGCTCTTGGTGCCGCACCTGGATCGTCACCACCTTCTGCGAGGGAAACTTTTTTGAATTATTTCTTTGGTCAGAATCCACCTGGGCCTGGTGGTCCCGGATCCGTGGCGGGTGGGGAGAAGGGAGGACCTTCTCACCATGGTCAACAACATCAGCATCATCATTCGATTGGAGGTGGAATAGGTATTGTACCTACGGGGAGGGATATTACTGGAGCTGATTCGGCCATGTCGAGTGGGTTGATGTCTGGAAAGAGGAGTTTTGATGGGAATCCGGCGTATGACATGAAGAGTCTTGGGAAGCATATTGAGGCGGTGCGTCTTTTTCTTTAGATTGTGACTTGGAAACTTGAATTGTGACCCTCTCTCCACTCTAGATCCCCACAGCGGATGGATCGTCCCGCCAGACTCTCCGGGAAGAAATGGAAACCAATCTGATTCGGTCACTTATCACTTCGTACTTTGGTATCGTCCGACAGACGATACAAGATTTGGTACCGAAGGCTATCATGCATTTCCTCGTTAATCATACGAACGAGCATGTCCAAAATCGATTGGTGGCTTCGCTTTACAAGCCAGAGTTGTTTGCGGATATGTTGAATGAAGATGAGGCGTTGGTCGCTGAAAGGGCTAGGGTGAAGGCTTTGTTGGATGCTTATAAGGAGGCGTTCAAGGTGTTGAGTGATGTTAGTGTTAAGCCAGGGAATGTGGCTTGAGCGTGTTGAGCGGTGAGGATCCTAGGAATACGTTTGGAGATTCCGTTAGAGACGTATTCATGGTGGGTATCTCTAGACTTTAGGAGGTCCCTGTGAAAAAAAAGTACATTCTGGTTTTTTGCTTTTTTTCCCTAGTTTATACACAATTTACTTTTTTAGTTTTTCTACGACATTAACGCTTCTCCTCCCCCTCTCTTTCTTCTACCTCGTCGCTCCCTTTGGCTCCTGCTTTCGTTGCATAATAATACGACCACTACATACATAGATCTTTGGTATCCTCGTGTAATAGAAGGAATGACCGGTCATTTTATCAGAGAGGGCAGCGAGTTCCAACTTGCAATCACAAGATGAACGGAACATTTATGACTCCAACGCTAATGCTACGTGGATGGTCATTTTACGTGAGCCCTGGGGTGGTATAATTCGAAATTCGGAGCTTCAGAGTCGCCTTTTTTTTTTCTCAGTCAACAGCAGGCTCCTTTCGGGGTTTTTTTTCTAACCTTTCTCCTTGTCGACACGTACAACTCCCACCCTTACCCGGTCGCCCGAGTTCTGGCGTCATGTACCTATTCCTTCGGCTCATTCCACTTACTAGTTTCGAGGTCGCTTCAGAGTATCTGACTTGCACCTTGTGGCAGGACGGTATGATTCGCGATCGGTTTTGTCGTGAACTTTGCGTTTTTGAGTGGCT